TCAAAGAAATCTCTTGCTCTGTGTAGTTTTGCCACATACTTCCAGGTCTCCTATGTAATTCGGGATATTTAGGAGGAAAAGAATTAAAGACACGCTGACATAATGGAAAGCATTTGGGCTTTAGGGTCTGCCAAACACAAGTTCAAATATAACTTCTGCCATGAACTAGTTGTGTAAACAGGAGCGAATTAGCTTCTCTGAACTTCAGTTTCCTCTTCCATAAAAGAGGGAAAAATAGCAGGGATGGGAGCCAGGTGCAGTGGATTAAGTGCGGTCTGCAGAGCCCCTCAGACATGGGTTCGGACGCCGTCCGCACTGCTTCCACTGTGTGTCTTTTCGGTCAATCATTTGACTTCTTAGAGCTTCTGTTCCTTCCTCTGAAACATAGAACAATGAAGTTTACCGCCTTCCCAGAGTTTATTGTAAACTTCAAATAAAAGAATTCAGGTAAAGAGCACCACACAGTGCCTGGGACATGGAAGGGGTCTGATAAAGTCAGTTTGCGTTGCCTCAGGGTCCCTCCTGTCCGTAATTGAAGGGGTTGGATTAGAACATTCCTGGGGGCCCTCCCCAAGTTTATGATTCCGAATTTATTTAAAAGACCCTGGAGGAGTTAACCTCTCTGGGCTCCTTGGTGCCTTGGCACCCCACCCCTAGGTTTTCTCATCACCTTGATGTGGAAATTAGGCTGGGGACCCAATCTGGGAGGGTGGGGGCACAGGCTGGGAGCAGGGCTATTTGGAGCCTTGTTTTCCTTGGAGGTGGCTTGGGGGCAAGGACTGTCCTCTCCCTCCCTCTAGGTTTGGAACTAGAATCTAGGCTCCCCGCCTTTATTTCCAAAATAGTTCCTGGCTCGGGCTGCGGGAACTTCCCGGCTCCAGCCCTGAGAAATCCCTCGCTGTGTGTCCCAGAATCCGGCTCCTCCGCCCTGCCACTGGGGCCTGCCCTGGGCCAGCTGTCGCTGAGCACGATCCCTATGGTCCAAAGAGGTTGCTGTGGGGCAGACATGGGCTGGAGAGCCAACCCTCCCTCTTGCCAAGCATGTGTGGCTGACAGAGCAGGTCAAGGGAGGCGAGTGGTAAGCTGAAAGGGGCGGTCCCCTCTCTCCTGCTCCCTTCTTCCCTCTCTACATCCACAATGTTCGCAGATTGTCACTTTCCAATTTTAAACCTGCTTTAGGAATACAGTTTCTCTTCTGGGGGCCCAGATGTGTCGCAGCTCACAAGTCACACCAACCAGTTTTCCAAGGGTCTCGTCAAGTAGGCAAGGGAGATCTCTACTCCCAGGGCCTAGGGAGTGTCTAAGGCACCATTTTCCAAAAGTACATCGTGTGTGTAACATTTCCATGGTGAGCACATGTGACACCAGAGACTGCCACTTTATTTTTGCCTCCCTCTGCCCCTTCGTAATTTAGCCAGTGGGGGAGCTCTCCCCTCCCCCTGGTAATCCACTCGCAGGTAATCTGTCTTCCTTGATCTTCATTTAAAGGTGAGACTTACTTCTGTCCCCCAGTGAAGGTGCAGAGCTGGCAGGGCCATCTGCTCCCTTTTTCAACTCACCTCTTTCCAGGTTGAAGGAAGGAGAGAAAGGACAGGTAGGGGGACGGACAGCAGGAGGGTTCTTCCATGTTTCATCTCTGGGGCAGGGATTAAACTGCCCTTCCTCTTTTGGGCCTCGCTACTATTGAAGCTTTCCCTTTCATAGGGGCCTTTTGCTGGCTCCTCCAATATGGGGGTTCCCATATTGGGCCTTATCACTGAACAGCCCTGGGGCCAGCCATGCACATTTTCTTATCGCTGCCAAGTCCAAGCCTCGCCTTGGGCTTCTGGTTTTGAGGTGTCAACCGCTCATGGTTATCATTGCTCACTTTCTGTCAGGACCCCTCTGGCCCAGGCCAGCTCCCACTGCAGAATGTCTGGTGCTTCCCGTCTACCAAGCAGGGCCAGAAGGCACACGGTCCCCTTCCCACGCAGCAGCAGTGAGCTCCCTTGTCCCCTTCCACCTAGGCAGCCAGTCGCTCACCTTCTCTCTTCGTCACACACGCCTCAGTTGCATGTTCACTCTTCCTTCCCCGCCCAGCGACAGCGATCACATTTTTTAAATCCTTGATCTGACAAGAGTGCCAGGAGTCATACAAGGAACTCTCAAACTGTTCCTTTGTCAATTCTTCACTTTGGCCTGCCTCCTCAATTTGGTATGTAGCAGCTCATGTGTCCCGGTGCCCAGGCAGAAATTTCCATTTGAATGCCCACTAATGCTCACCCATTGTCTTTCATGGCACCATCTCCCAAGGACTAGATACCTGGAATTAACCTGCACCCCTGTGCAAGTCTCTTTCTTCACGTGGTTCCACAGGCCTTCCTTATGTCTCAGCAGAGGCTTTGCCTTGCCGCCGTGTTTCCAAGGTCTGCGTGCATATTTGTGGGGGCTTGACCAAGGTTCCTTAAGAATGGATGTGCACTGTTACAGACAATGCTCCTTGTTAAAAAGGGTTACTAGAAATGGGTGGGGAGGCATTAAAGATACACTGTCACTAAACTGGAACTGTTTGTTCTGGACTTAATCAGGATGGAAGAAACTGGAAAGAAAATAACTTAGTTATTATATGATGTGATATTATTTAGAGCAATATCTGGTACTGAATCATGTCCGCCTGGCTAGGGCCACCTCTAGGACACTTACCTAGAGAAACCTGCTGAGATTCGGAGAGGAGAGTGACTTGTCCAAAGTCACACTGTTGGTGAGCATTGGAGCTGAAAGTGGAACAGGCCCGGCATCCCAGGTCACTGCAGTGCTGTGCCCCACCCCCTTCTCCCTGGCAGGAGAAGCCTGGTTTTTTTCTCCTCTTCATAGGTTCCTAGGGTTAACGATTCTGGAGGGACCAGGAGAAAAGGTGCAGTCAGCCTGTTTCCAGAGGTGGCTCTCAGGTCAGCACAGGCTCCCAGCCCAGGGCAAAGCACAGTGTGATGGGAAGGGAGGTTGAGGGCCCAGGAGAGCTGCCAGGGCCACTGCCTGAGCAGTGTTTCTGCCCTGCCACCAGCACGGTAGCTGCGGCAGGGGGCCCTGGTGGCCTAAGGCTGTGTGGGAACAGGGAGGACAGCAAAGCTTCACATCTGGAAAGAGGAAAGACTGGAGTGTGAAAGGCTCAGCATCAAAGAGGAGGGGACCTTGGCAACCATCTAGTCAAGGAGCTTTCAACGTGGGTTCTAGACCACCAGCCACCAGTAGCAGCACTCGGATGCTTAGTAATAATGCAAATCCAAGTCCATTGTAAACTCGGCGGGTGGGACCCAGCAACCTGGGCTTGAACAAGCCCTCCAGGAGAGTCTGATGCACGCACGAGTGTGGGAAGCTACCTCTTCTTGTGCAAATGGGGAAACTGAGGTCCAGAGAGGGAAAAGGACTTGCCTAAAGTCACAAAGTCAGTTACCACTTAGGACTCATCCCCGTGGCAGGATGCCATGCCTCAATGTTCCCCTTTGTGGTTTCATTCTTAGGAGAGAGGCTGTTGATTGCAAAATGACTGAGCCAATGTGTTGAGAGGTTTTAGACAAGCCACTTATTCCTGGCATCTGTGTCTTCACAGTGAGGGCCTGGGAGTGGATCACTCTGGTCACGGAGCACTGGTGTCTGGTGTGAAATGCTGCTGCTGCCGCCGGCCTCAGGGACACAATGTCAAATTAAGACATGTTGAGACTTGCAAAGTCTCCAAAAACTCACTTCCGTACCTCTTTTCTAGGAAGCTATTGCAGGATATGTGCCACCAAAATGAGGGAGTAAAATAGTAATTTTTTTTTAAAAAAAAGAGAAAGACACAGGATTCATAAAATAGGAGATATAATGCAGGAGAAAGACAAAGAGAATCATCAAGGTGATTATAAAGGCAGACCCTGGGGTGACAAGTGTTTGGCATGTTTAAGGATTGGAGGAGGAGAATGGAGGGTTCCAGGACTTACACCCTCAGGAAAATAAATGGAACTGATAAATTATCTGATAAATTATCTGTAGAAAAACGTGACATAGAGCACTAAGCAAATGAAAGAATAAAGTTATTAAAACCTCCAGTAAGAAAAGTGTGTACAAAAAAAGGAAGTATATATAGCACAGTGCTTAGCTTAGCAGTAAACAATACTTTTATAATAGTTCAAAGAGTGAATTTTGATAAAGTCAAATTTTACATTCGAACTCCATTAAGGAGAGGAAATAGGGGCCTAGTGAGTGATGGAAGGGAGCTGAATCCCCATCATTCATGATAAGATTCAAAATGTAATGTCTCAAATTGATAAATCAAAAGAATGCATATAAGCATATTGTCTTTTAAGTAGTAAATACCCAGAAAAATAGCCAAAAGAGTTTGGGGCAGGGGGTTGAGGTTAAGGATGGGTAGGAGATCAGAGTTTTTCGTTATAAGCCTTATAGTATCATTTGACTTTGTAAACAATGTGCGTGTATTATTTCAATTAATACTTTTAACTTAAAAAAAAAAAGGGCACACAGTGTTGCTCAGGTTTAGGGCACCATCACTCAGAACTGAAGCTTCACTGCTCCTCCCCCGCTGACGTGCTACCCCGAGTCCCCTGGGAGAAGCAGCCTTGTTGCAAATCATCCACCTGCACTTTGAACTAGCTCCGCCCTTGTAGCTGTCCACTTGCGCCACGTATTTGAATAAAACCATGGATCGTTTCTCTCCATCCACAGCTCCCCCCAGTCAGCTGTCACTGGGCTGTAAGTCCTGCCACTCCAGAGGATGGTGGCGTGATGATGACCGCCTCACTCCAAAGGCCCCTCCAAAGTATAGTCTGGGCCCACAACTCAGCTCATCCAAATATGTCCTCAAGACGTGATGACACTGCCCAGCCACTTGAATGTGATTTAGGACAGAGCCGGAGCCACAGATAACCTGAGTCTCTCCCAGCTGCCTCCCCCTCCCCTGGATGCCTTTCTGACCCATCAGCTCAGTGACCGGACTCACCTGCTCATAACTCTCTTGCATCCTACAGGTGAACACCATGATCCCCTGGGTGCTCTTGGCCTGTGCGCTCCCTTGTGCGGCTGACCCTCTTCTTGGTGCCTTCGCCCGTAGAGACTCCCAGAAGGGCTCCCCTCAGCTTGTCTGCAGCCTGCCTGGCCCCCAGGGCCCACCCGGCCCCCCAGGAGTCCCAGGGCCCTCAGGAATGGTGGGAAGAATGGGCTTTCCTGGAAAAGACGGCCAGGATGGCCAGGACGGGGACCGGGGAGACAGCGGAGAGGAAGGTAAGAGGCCCCGTGCCTGCGCCTCCTGTTTCTACCTGGGGTTGGCAGCATCTGGCACAGAGGAGGCTAGTGAAGCTATGAAAACTAGTATTAATCCCATCTCATCTCATTATAAACCAAATTAACATGTTCTGAAAGGAACAGTGGGCGTCAAATCTCACGTTCCTTCTCCAGCTGCATCACTGATTTGCTGAGTAACTTTGGGCAAGTTTCCTGAAATATTATCCAGAACCCTGTTGGTTGCAAGTGACAGAAACCAATTTATAGCCCCAAATGGAATTTATCGGCTCATGCAACTGGGAAGTTCAAGAGTCAAGCTTCAGGAATGGCCGGGTCCAGGAGCTCAAATATTGTTGTCAAGGCTCTGCTTCTCTCTGTGTGTCGGTTTTGCTCTCACAAAGTTCTCACTGGAAGTTCTGAAATAGCTACTAGTGGGCTCAAGCCTCCTCCCTCATGGCTTGATCCATAGAGCAAATCTCAGAATAACTTATCCTCTTTGATCAAATGTGCATCCTGTACCAATCCCTTATAACCATGGAGGTGAGGTACCACCATTTGCCAGGACTAGGTCATGTGCCCACCCCTGGGTGTGTGTGGGCGGGTGATGAGGGCAGTTCGTCACTGTGATTGACAGCCTCACTGGGACCCCATGAAACAACGAAGGGCTGCTCTGCAAAGGAAGGGATGCCAGGCAGCCAGCAGATAGATTGCATACTCTCAGCAGACCCTCTCAGCTCCTTGACACTCCTTGTATCTCTGAACTCTCACCCCAGTAACCAAATACTTTCCAGTGTCAGCAGTACCCCAACGTGTACATTTTAAGCAGTAGGGAAATCATCATAACTTTTATTTTTGTATGACATTTTAATACCGACAATGCATGACCCCGCTTCCTGACCACAGTGGTAAATTCAGGTCTGGGCATGTGCTCCACGCAGGGCCTGGCAGAGTTTCCCCTGACATTCACCTTAGGGATCTCAGGATGGGGAGGGTATCTCTGCTATGGAGGTTATCTCTGCTATGGACTTTTACCCCTTGATGAAGAGTTATGAGGATGTAGGCTTGGGGCTGCTTTGGGCCACCTCACGTGCCATGTATTGTCTCTGCTGAGGATTCAGCCAACACACCAAGGAAGGCAGAGTTGAGAGACGGAGAGTCCTGACATGTATAACCCAGATAAAGCCTCGTCACCTCGAGCCCAGTCATAGTCCAGGACAACATCCAGCCACCCACCCCTGACAGACACATACAAATCCATCTCAAGGAAGGTCTTGCAAAGTCAAGTCAGCTTTTCCTGAAGCTTCTCAAAACAGCTATCAAGAAGGAAACACATCACATGCCACATGGTAGAAGCTCCCCAATAAGCTTCCTTATTTGTCTTCCTCAAAAACTAAAATCTAAAATGTCTCTGTCTTTACTCCCCATCATCTCTCGACCCCTTCTCCCACCTTTTGTTTATTTTCACTTTTTCAAGGAATAGCTTTGTGACCTTTCTTAGTTTTATTTCCCCCATTTCTTTTATTTATTTTTCATTGCATCAGGAATACACAAATGCGTTCTCATTGTAATATACTCAAACAACACAAATAAAGCAAGAGTCCTTAATTCCTACCCCTTCTTGTCCTCCCCTCATCCTCCACAGGTAACCACTGATAACTAGTTAAATGTGTACCCTTCCTGGCCTTTTTCTACATCTTTGCATACGTGTATAATAATACCAGGCATTGCCAGGCAATCAGTGTAAGCACTGTTCCTGAAAATTAGGTGGTCAAGTGAGAAAATGCTATCTGGGAATCAATTCCCCAATTACTTAAAATAGGAAAAATTTAAATGCATTACATGTTAACCCAAAACTCTAAAATACAGTAAAATGCCTACACATATACACGTAAGAGCAAAGTACCCTGTTAGGATATAAAATGCTTACGTTACTTTCTGATCACCCAGTTCACATGATGACTAACAAAGAGCTGCCTTGTGTACAGCGATGCTAGAATGTCCTTCAGCACCAGCAAGCTTCAGAAGCACACTCCTTGATTGACAGCATGCTTTTCAAAACATCTACAGCCAATTTTGCCAGTCTACCAATTGTATCAGTTGTACAGTTGTGTTTGGGTGGAACTCAGAGCTTCACCTGTACTATATTTTGTTTAAAATGTTGTATTGAGTTTAGGGGACATGAATATGAATCTTTCCTATCTAGTCGTTGGCCAAAAATGTTGTATTGAGAGAAATGCACATTTTATGAAATGTGGGTATTAAAAACCAAGAGGTGCTGTTCTACAGGAAGTGTTCTACAGGATATGCCGAGTGTATTTAGTGAGTGTTTGCTATGGGCCAGGCACTCTTTCTTCTAGGCATTAAATGGGGATAGAAATAGGTAGCATTGTCATTTCCTCTTAACAAAAATGGGTTCTGCCACCTGCTCTCTCCTCTTAACAGCATGTTTCAGAGACATTTTCATACAGTGCACATAAATCTGCCTCAGTTTTAAAAACTCTTGCATAGAATCGCACATCATGGATGGGCCATCATTTTTTAATCATTTCCCCTGGGATGGGCATTTAGTTGTTCTCAGTGTTTGCTATCGCAAGCACCGGAACATTCACCCTTCACATGTGGGCAGGGATCTTGGCACCAGGCAGGGATTTCACTAAGATCAATGTTTTGAGGCCAAGAGTCTTCTTCCAGTTCTCTTCTCAACCCATTACCAGCACAGCCCATTGAAAGATTGGTCTGGCAAACAAACAACTCTTCCTTAGAAGGCAGGCAAAGGGGAGGGTGTGGATTGTTACAGGTTATTTTTGCCCTGATCCACAGTGATTCTGGAAGGTAAGTATCACCATTCCCAGTTTCTCGATAAGACTGGGAGAAGTATCCCAGGTTATCCCATCAGGACTTGCACTCATTTTTGTGTGACTCCAAAGCCCCTGTTCTTCCCGTTATCCAAAGGCTTGTGCTCCAAGGATGAAAAGCCCAAGACCCACAGCCTCTGCCTAGTTTTCTGGGGGGGGGGCCCTCATAACAACAGCTGCTTTATCTTCCAGGTCCACCTGGCCGGACAGGTAACCGGGGAAAGCCAGGACCAAAGGGCAAAGCTGGGGCCATTGGGCGGGCTGGCCCTCGAGGCCCCAAGGGGGTGAGTGGTACCCCGGGGAAGCACGGCACACCAGGCAAGAAGGGGCCCAAGGGCAAGAAGGGGGAGCCGGGCCTCCCGGGCCCCTGCAGCTGCAGCAGTGGCCATGCCAGGTCGGCCTTCTCAGTGGCAGTGACCAAGAGCTACCCACGGGAGCGGCTGCCCATCAAGTTTGACAAGATCCTGATGAATGAGGGCGGACACTACAATGCATCCAGCGGCAAGTTCGTCTGCAGCGTGCCAGGGATCTACTACTTCACCTACGACATCACGCTGGCCAACAAGCACCTGGCCATTGGCCTGGTGCACAATGGCCAGTACCGCATCCGGACCTTCGACGCCAACACGGGCAACCACGACGTGGCCTCGGGCTCCACAATCCTGGCCCTCAAGCAGGATGATGAGGTCTGGCTGCAGATCTTCTACTCAGAGCAGAATGGGCTTTTCTATGACCCTTACTGGACTGACAGCCTCTTCACAGGCTTCCTCATCTATGCTGACCAGGATGACCCCAACGAGGTGTAGACAGGCCAGCGCTGGGTCTCCAGGGAGGGAACATGCTCCCGGGGTTATGCTTACAGACCGAGCCCCCCCGAACTGTCTGCTGGGGGCCTGGCGGCTGGCTATTGGGAGCTTCTAGACTCAGGCCGACCTCCTCTGCCCCTTTTTCCCCCATCATTAAATCCAAGCTTTTTTATTCATCCTTCCATCTATCCACACACTGATTTTCTTTTTTAGTACCTACGGTGTGTCAGGCGCTATGCTACACTCTGGAAGCTGCCACAGTGAACGAGACAATCAGAGGCTCTGTCCTCATGGAGATCCCATTCTAGTGAGAGGCACAATTTACCAATAAACAAACAAATACTGTAATTATCGTGCCAGGATGGAAATTCACATGCCATGGTCTAGACTAGAGTAATAAGAATAACAGGAGGCAGGGAAGAGGTGGAATTTTTTTTTTTTTAGATTTCATCTTTTTAGGTTTACTTACATACAGTGAAGTCTATGAATCTTAAATGGACAGCTCAATGAGTTTTTACATATGTGCACACCTTGTACCCTCCATGTAGCTCAAGAACAGAATATTTCCAGCCCCCTCTCCCCCAACTCCCTAAGGCTCTCTTAAGTCCCCTCCCAGTCAGTACCAGGATCAGGTTAATTTTTTGTTTTTTTAAAGGTTTTATTGGGGGATTGGGAGAGGGGAACAGCATTGGGGAATCGGGAAAGCAGAACAGACAAGTTGCTGTCCTTTTTTCTTCAGTCTAATTGTGGAGGACGTCGCTTCACTGGCCCATGTTGGTATTATCATTGCACTCTTCCCGGGAGAGGCAGTCACTCACCAGCCATTGGACGGGAGCTCACGCCAGCTGCCAGCCACTCATAGTAGTTCCAGCAACCCGCTGCAGCAGGGACTGCAGCAGGGGCTGCAGCCTACGCCATCTCCGGCAACTCACAGCAGCCCAGCTCCAGGTTGAGCTGTTGTTCACCATCTTAGATGTAGAGAGCGCAGCATCACTGACCCTCATATGGGATCCTAACAGGGGCCCTGTTGCTCAGAGCTGGTGTCCCAAGCCAACTTCTAACCAACACGCCACTCATCTGGCCCGAGTTAATTTTTAAGCTGAGCATTGAAGCAGGAGAGAGATCAATGCAGAGGTCTGGGGATAGAGGGCTTCTGGCAGGAGGGGCTGAGAGTGTAAAGGCCTTGACATTGGACAGAGATTGGCATATCTGAGAAACTGACCTGAAAGCCAGAAATGGAGTGAAGTGACAAAGGAGACAGGACGCATAAGTCCCGAGGCTGGAAGATTATACAGAAACTCACAGAGTTCATTCTGCTCAAGAAAGCTTATCAGAATGCAAAAGAGAGCATGACGTTAATATAGGGATAAGTTTGACTCTCTGCTCCATGCATGAGTCCAGTCAGGCTTGCACTTAAGCACTTTATTACTAGTTGCAAATCACCTGCAGGCCCACTTCCCAATCAATGAGCTACACCAGGACCCTTGCATACCTGAGAACCACAGCTCTAAGACAGCAGGAACGGGTAACATATATGTGAATCTGGCCGCCACCTCAGGGGTTTCCAGTGTGCAGGGATCTGAGGGACATAAGAAACCATAGTACAAAGTGGCTGGTGCGGAGAGCACCCCACAGGTCAATTGCTGGAGAGAACTTTCTGATGGAGCCACAGTTCCCTGGCAGATTGCTCACACCGAACTCTGGCTGGAAAGGAGAGGCCAGCGGGGCCCTCAGGGATGGGGAACCCTGCCTGGAGTCATCCTGGAAGGGGTGGCCCCCTCTATCAATAAGATGGGGTTTATTTAAAATAACTACATTCTCACTGGGCCACAGAAGTATGGGGTTGGGATGGGTCTGAGAAACCCAGGAAGGGGTTTGTGACCCAAACAGATTACTATGTGGGTCAGGGTCCTGCCTGCCCCCCCTTTGGGAAGGGGTTAGCTTCTGAGCTTGAGCAGCATCTTTGCAAATAGTTATATATATACAACTATTTTATATATATACATATATATATATATTTATTATTATTATTATTATTATTATTATTTAGGATCGCCTTTAACCACTTCATCTTTCTTCCCCCAGGGATGCAGGCATTTGAAGGCAGTGAGCTTAACCCTTTGTAGCCTGGGGAATAAATCCAGCCTGTGCAAGATGGGCAGGACCCTGAAGCTCTGTGGTTGCCATTTCTGGGCCTGACCTAAACCCAGGTCCCCTTGGCACCCTACCAGGAAATCCCCAGAGAGGGATAGGGCTGATGGAAGGGGGTACTCAGAATTCATTATGGTGGGGCAGAGGGGGCAGATGGAGGCAGAGACTCTGCAGGACCCAGGGCTGGAGTCTTATCTTCTTTGGATGTGGTCCTGGGTTGCTGGAGGTGGTGAGATGGGAGTGCTGGGTTTGTGGTAGGTGAGCAGAAGCAGGTGACGCCATTCAGGGGGTCTCTGGTAGCCAGCTGATGGCAAGGATGATGGCTGGTTTATTCCCGAACACTTCTGAGGGTGGCTGCTTCCTCGGTGAACCACTGGAGTTTTCAGGCAGATGATGCAGGATGGAGGCCCAAAAGAGGAAGGTGTTCCAAGCAGGTGGCCCTCCCGGCACATCGGGGCCCCAGCCCCTTACTATGGGCCTCAGCAAACAGGACCCATCTTTAGGCCTTTGCATTTGTAGGCATTGATGAAAACCCAGAACTCAGTGCATGTTTGTGCAATAAAATTGCCCTTGACCCCAGGGTCTTTTCTCATAAGTGATACACTTTGAAAGTCAGTTGTCAATAATCAACAAAGCTAGACACTAGTTAAAGTGGTAAGGTCAGAGTTTAATCAGTAACATACTATTGCAATAGTACAGTGGGAATATATAATATACAAATATATAATATATAAATTGCAATAATATATATGGAAAAGAGTCCAACGTGAACTGAGCTCACCTTGTACAGAGGTGACCGGGTGTTTTAAAGGGAGCATGAGGGGCTAAGGAGAGGAGGAGAGTGGGGGTTCTGGAAAGTTAGGGAAGTGAAAAATTACAGAAAACAGGAAGGGGGATTGGTCCATGTGAAAAGCAAGTGTGTTTGCTAACTGGGCCTTATCAAAGTTAGGCTCCTCCTCTCCCACAGAGACTGGGCTACAGGCACTATCTTCAGATATTTGCTGGAACAGACAACACATTCTTCTGGGTGGCTTGAGTTTTTTTCAGGCAGCCACTTTAAGGGGATCTGAGGTCATCCTAAGGATGTGGCCTTGAGCTCTTAGAAGCTGTGTTAGTGTTTGTTCAAGACTTTAGAAGCCAAGGTTAATGGGCCTAGCGAAGGAGAAGGCTCAGAGGAGCCTGCCTAAAGTTTGAGCAAGGAGAGCTTTGTCACCACCCCTTTCTGCAGAAAGCCTGGAGAACCTGCAGCTCTGACTATTATGGTGCACAGAGCACCAGGCCCTCTGTCCTAACACGCCAGTCCAGCCCTTGCTGGGCCTCATGGTTCATGACAAGTGAGGGGTGAGGGGTTAAGGGAGTGGGGGGTTGCATGCCATATGTGGAAATAAGATCTTCACCTCAGGCACAAAATGTAAAGGGTGCCGAAAACCTCAGTAACCAACAT